TAATAAAGGATTTATTTATTAATAAGATTAATTATAATAAAATGAAACGATGCTCTATTACTGCGAGTTAAAGTTAATCGTTGGTAACTTATTAGGAGATTGGTGAAAAAAATCCTTATACTAATAAATTTTACGTTAATTTATATAATAAATCAAGAAAATGGCTTTTCGCTAAGGATTATTCCGGGACATCTCTATAAAAAGTCGAAAATCGGGATGTCCTGCAAAATTCGGTTAGTCTAGACAGTTAGTCTAGACAGTTAGCCCTAATTATAACATATTGTTTGTAATTCTATCAATATTGTCACGTCAATACCATTCATACTGATCACATACCAAAATCGCTGTACTAAATTTTTGTAATTTAATGACAGTTTGTTGTTGAATTCTATTTCTGCTTGTATGTACATTCACTTCAGATTTCGCAAAGTTTGTGTTTAGTAAATCAAGGGGAAAGCTTGTAAAGTACACAGATGTATGCACGCTTCACTTTTTGACAGTTATAAAACTTAAAACATAGAACATATCGTGGTGGTATGATACTAAAAGAAATATCTGGATCCACAATTATAGATAGGGGAGACTTGCACGATCCGCGCAAAGATAAATAAAAGAGGCTCAGGGTTTCGCTCTCTGATAGATTTATGACCATGCATTATGGTTCCCAGCGCATGGTGTGACGGTTAAATAGTGTTCAGGATCACTACGGGACATTTGTTACTAGTCGGAATAAATTACATGCTGAATGTTAGATACTATTATACTTATTATTATACTTTATATTCAGTAAGACGATATTCTGTAACAATACTGATAATGAAAAAAATCGTGAATAGAAAGAATAGAAAGAAGTAAATCAACTTGTTTGTGCGATTTAAATGTCAGCAACATGTCTCGCATTACTCTTCCATGAATTCATCGATCTGTTGTTTACTATAAATTAGAGACTCAATAATGAAGTTTAGCCAGGAACGATTTTGCTAAAGTTCGACGAGAGAGAAGGGTATATGTACTATTTTCCTCTATATATATATATATATATATATATATATATACATACACTTCACTACATTTCATTCTAACTTACACTTTTCAGTTTTATAATCTTAATCCTCTGTTAGCAATGTAAAATTTTACTCTACGTCTGCAATCTGGCTTTTCCAACTTTACTGTATATTTTTATATTCTGCATTCTATAGTATAAATATTTTAAAAAAGTCACATACTTGTGAAAACTTTAATAATAAATTTTTATTACCATAGAAGTTGATCTATCAGAATTTATAATCAAAAAGTTGATTGTGCCTTATTATGTCCAATAAAAATACTGCGATAGAGAGTTAATTTACCCTAGCTATACACACTGGAGTCTCAGAAATCTCAGTGCAATTTACTAATCAAGATTTTTTCTGAATTTTTCTTTTTCTTTGAATCTATATATATCTCGAAGCTTTTTAATTCTATCAACTTTCACACATTATGTATTTGTTAAATAGTAATTCAATCAATTTATTATTCAATTCTTTAATCAATTGTCCATCGATTGAAAAAAAATTAATTGAAATATGTCCATTTTTACGGAAGTTACGGTAACAAATATGAATGGAGTCCCAGAGTGTGCATATCAAAAATAAAACGAAGTATGTATGTATGTGTGTGTGTGTATATATATATATATATATA